GGGGGGGGGGATACTGTCCAGATTTCCTATTTCTTCTCATGAGTTTTGTGAAGTTACATTTTCCCAGGAACTTATACACTTCACCCAAGTTTTCAAAACTGCTGCCACTGGCCAGGGATTTAGCTCAGTGGTTCTGCTGCCTACCTTGCAAGCTCAAGGACCCGAGTTCGATCCCCATTACCAAAAAACCCTCCAAAAACTGCTGCCTTAAACCAGCTCAGGATGCCCTTGGCTCACTCTGCTGACTATTGGATCTGTGCTAGTATCCTCTTCTCACGTTGTCAGTGGATTCTCTCTCAACCAGGACCCCTCAGGAACTTTAGAGCAGATCCTCTCCTTGGTATATCTGCTGTCCATTGTATTTATTTCAGCTCTTATCTGCATCTGATCTTAGCCAAAAGGCCAAGAAGTGATTTTTCAGCTCTGATCTATAGTCTATTTCATTTGCTTTAATGGCCTACTCTTTAATTTCTTCAATCAATTCTTTCATTCACTTAACCCAAGAAGAGACAACATTGTAAATAATCCTTAAAACTAAGGAAGAAATGCTTGTTTTCACTTAATGATAACTACAGTAAGTTTCCCAACTTAAGAACATTTGAGTTGCGAACTTTCACAGATCCAAATGGACTTTGCATTACAAACATTCGTGGATGCAAACTGTGGAAGGAGCTCACATGTCTGCTGGACACTGTCGTAGTTTTGCCGCTGTGTGCTTACTGCAGAGTGCAGTAGCGTACAGTAGTACAGTACAGTCAGGGAATTACTGTATTTTGGGGTGTTTTTTATGTTTTACATTGTATATTTGTGTCAAAGATGTGTAAGACTCACTTTGTCACACTTACGAACAAATTCGACTTTGTAAACACTTTCCCGGAACGAAACTGTACTTATGGGATGTGCACAGTGTCCAGCGTGGACCTGATCGCAGCCCAAGCTCATGCCGCCCATCAGTGGGCCCAAATTCAAACTGGTGCTGTGACCGATTGGGCAGCGCGGTAAACACATTCTCTGCCTTGCTACTTGACTCAGTATCCACCACATCTATGAGGCCGCCCATTCCCATTTTCCCTATCTACCCAACAAACTGGTGATTCTTTTATGCCATGTTGTGCTATAATTTACAACTGTAAATTTACGACTGTATTAACAGTTCTTTTCTTGCAAGTTTTACATCCAAATTTTTGACTGCATCTTCTCTCCAAGGTCACAAACTTAATGAACCTAAGCATAGTGCTTAGAGAATCATAAACAATTAGCATGCCGGGTTTGATGGCGCACACCTATAATCCCAGCACTCGGAAGTCTGAGGCAGGAGGACTGCTGAGAGTTCAAGGCCAGCACGGGCTACAATTGAGTTCAAAGCCAGCATGAACTGCATAGGAAGACCCTGTCTCAAACAAAAAAAAAATAAAAATAAATAATTAGTGTTATGCAGGAAAAATGGAATAATTTGTACATACTCCATTTTATAAAGAAGTAGAGTGATTTCCTGAAACAAGTGTTACTACAGAAAGTTTAATGTTTAATAAATTGTAACAATGTATTTCCACTTGGAAAAGACTGATTACCAGTAAGAGGTACAAGAAATGCAGTCTAGAATGAGAAGAAACCAATTACTACTACACGTATTCATAGGTACATTATCATTTAAGTAGTATTCTTATAAAATTATATTTTCTAGTTGTTTATTGCTAGTTATTTTAAAATGTTACTGATTTTAAAACACTAGTCTTGTATCAACCTGCTGAGTGATCTTGTTAGTAATAGTCTATATGCAGTCACCTTCAGGAATGTTTTGATATAAACAGTCCCATCACTGGTGACTAAGGCCAGCTGCTGCCTCCTTTCCCATCCTCAAAGCTTCTATTTCTTCTCTGTACCTCAGGTTAGCTATAATGTTATCTGCAACACTGAAGGAAAGTGGCTAAAACTGAAACCCCAAACTGATTCACAGGTTTAACAGAAATGCTCTCAATAAGGGCCGGAGATTTAGCTCAGTGGCACCACACTTGCCTTGAAAGCGCAAAGTCCTGAGTCTGAGCCCTGCTACTGGGGGAGGGGGAGTGGTACCATGCTCTCAACATTGTACCATCCAGAAAGGTGTACAGAAGCTCATTTCCACCCTTATCACCTTAAGAAAATCTGTTTTTATACCCAATGTGCTGGGAATTATTATATATTGATTTGAATTTTATAAATGTCTCTGAACCCCATTTCTTACAGATTTCATCCTAGTAAGTTACATTACTAAGTGAGCTAATATTAAACTACCTTTCTTTTTTTTTGATACTAATTGCTTTAATTGCTTTTTTTTTTTTTAAATACCAGGGATCAAATTTAGTACCTTGCCCTTGCAAGGCAGGCATAGTGCCATTGAGCTAATCTCTGGCCCCTGATACCAATTGCTTTTTTTTTTTCTTAAATTCTTTTATTGGTACATTTTAGGTATACAATACGTTTACATTTATCATTGGGTGCTTGTACCTGTACATGATGAATCTTGGTTCTTATTTTTTTCCCCATTCCCTGTGAGCCCTTCACCCCCTCCACCCTTCCCTATTTACATAGATTTCATTTCCATTTTTTTCTTTTCTCATAGTTTTTCCTTTCCCTTCTTCCCTTTCCCCTTCCCCTCCCACCACCCCTACACCTTTGGACCTTTTCCTATTTCAAATTATCAATTATTCATTGTAATCATTTTAATCCTTATCTACACTCTCAGT